CGGCGAGGGTGGTGGAGGATGGTCGTGAGGAGTTGGCCCTGGGGGGTCGTATCGAGGCCCTCCAGAGGGGGGAGGGGGGGGGGTCGTAAAATTTTCGAAATTGGTCCAACGTGACGGTTGACCTTGCTGTGGACTTTGTCGAGTCCACAGTCCTATATCCTGGCGACCGCTCTACAACCGCGCGCTCACCATTATTGTGTTAAGTCAGTGCCTCTCTCCTGCACTAGACAGTTGTCATTTCAGGCTGCACAATATGTGAATCTCTGTGATAGAATCATCCTGTTTGACACAACGATTTTACGTGGACAATGGGATAAGTGCACGCCAGTGTTGGAGGATATTGAAACACTTGATGCTGCTGAAGCAGCAATTACGGTAAGCATCTTCAACGAGAGTCGTTTAAAGCAACAGTCCCAGCAGGGTGGGCGTGGTCGGAAACGACTGCAATCCCCTCGGCCGATTCCGACCACGCCCACTTCAGCTCCCTCCCTAGCGGCTTTCCAAGGTGAGTTTTTGTTCAGTCACACTTCTTACGTTCTTGACTAGGGGCTGAACAGCTCCGAAGTGGGAATCGGCCGAGGGGATTGCAGCCGTTTCCGACCACGCCCACCCTGCTGGGACTGTTGCTTTAAGAAGTCTATCGTGGCTGGATCAAAGCTACTGCACTATGACGGCTGCCCGGTGTTCAAAAAAAAGGATAACAGATTGAAGAGATTCGGGTAAAGCCTCTATTTCTCTCTTTTTCTCCGCCATCCTGCGCCTCTCAGACAAACACTCACACTTGGCAAATCTTTACTGGGCAGCGGGCGTCAGCTGTTCGCCAAGTATAGGAGCAGCTATACCTACATACTGCCTCGCGCCGCCTTTGTGGCTAAGGAACCGCCCATCCACTGCCCTCATGGTGAGCGCGCCCCAACGCTCGCACTATGGATCTACCGTACTTCTTTGTTGAGTCTTAATATATTTCGGACTTCTCTTTATGTAATCTTTTAGGAAAGCAATACTTCTAGCGGCACAAAATGAGCTCTCTGCTGCACGAAATCTCCTGGAATCAATTTACAATAAATATGAGACTCCGAGTACAGTGTTCATGCATATGAGGTAATGACCATGTATACTTCATTTTCCTTTTTTTTTTTCACTCTGCTGGCACTGTTCAAAATTTAACTTCGACTGCATTTAGCATGTTTTTGAGCGCGAGGCGCTGAAGTGCCGTCCATGCGAAATGCCTGTAATGCGTCTCGTGAAGAAAGCTTGTTGGAAGTTGCACAAGCTACATCGCGCGCATGGCTCACGACCATGGTGTGGTCCAGGTAATCTGGCAGCAGTGAATTCTATGAATTTCTCCTGACATGCGACCCCAGCAAGCCGCGCGGCGGGCGTTCAATGAGCCGTCTAATCATACAGTAGCGGTCAAAAGTTTGGAAACTTTTATTTTTGATATAGCATAACCGATAAACAATGAAATTGCCCCGTATTCACATATTATACACAGAATCAGGTGTAGATTACGATGGGTGACATTTTTTTTAGCAAACTAAAATCGCATTTGAAAAATACGAATTTTTATAAGAAATGGCGCAATTCAAAGCGAATTCGGCAAAATAGCTCTCAAATCCACATGATAAATTAGTTATTCGATGAGTAGCTTTAAATTTCTATCTTAGCGTCGTTTTTATTGACATGGTATTGATTATAAAATAATTTTAGGATTTTTAAGTCGGACCTCATACACTGTGAACTAAAGCACATTGTTTGGTGGGATTCTTAACTGAACGGCCAACTTCTGTCCGCATGTAAACTACATAGACTCATGGTCGATCTGATGGTCGCTCATAGCAGCTCCTTTTTCTGGGTTGAGGAAGGCGGCAGTGGGGAGGTAGGCCTGCATCGGGTTATTTCCGTAATAGAAAACCCATCTTTTCCGGCTAGTTCTGACTATCTAAGGTAAGCATTGTATTCTACAGACTATACTTGTACTTAGCCCAACCCACATTTCGCTGGATACCTAGAACTGGGGAATCGCCGAATGGTCGGACACATGTTCATCCATGACAGTACTTCCACTATTTCTCTGTGTGAATCTAATACCAAGTGAGTTCCATTTACAGACACACTTCACAGTCGCACTGCATTATTTCATAGAATAGAAATGCTCAATTCCGTCTGAGGACAAAGTCTTCACTCTTGGCTCCGTCCATAGTACCTTGTAGTGCGAAAGCATTTGGGCCCCCTGCCGCCGTTGAAGCCCAAAACAAGTGAACATTGAAGAGTAGGAATCATACTAATAAGGGAAACAAAAAGTTTCCAAACTTTTGACGCGCCATTACTTGAAAAAAATCTTATTTCTCAAATGATTATAGGTTTTTGGAAAATTGTTCTTCCCGTCGTATTCTGAACTTGATTTTGTATGGAATTATATTTCTTATCATTATATTTAATTTATTTATTTTATTTATTATTTATTTATTTATTTATTAATTTAAATATCTAAATGCAATTTCGTGTGTATCGTGCGCCTAATCAACATAAAAAATTTCCAACTTTGACCGCTACTGTATATGACGGTGTAGAGAATTTGGTAAGTGGGTGGAAGACTGGGAAGAGAGGAACAACCTGGAATTCTGAGCAATTCTCGCGTATCCAAAATTATAAGCGCGTATGTATGCTTTCTGCATCTGTTCCCGAAGTGGCTGGGCTGAAGCACAGGTCCGCTTGCAGGTGCGCAGTTCAAATCCATTCTGGATTCGTGCGCGCGAAAACCCGTCAGCTTTTCCCACTGAGCGTATTTTAGAGGCGACGTTGGGAGCACACCTCGCGTAGAATCAGGTTTGACGACTGTTGACACCATTCAGGAGCGGAGTGGGAGGAGTTCACATATCCGATATTAGGTCATCGCCAGGGGTGTCCTTGTTTCCATCTCTCCGGAGCTAGATGGTTGGTATCAGACTTTCGTGTAACTCACTTCGCCTTAAACTGCCTCTAGAGCTCTAAATGGGAGTATGGAATGTGTGGCACGTTCCAGAGTTTTCCCATTGCCCACTGTTGATTCACCCCAGCTCTATACAATTAATTTAATGGGTGGGGGATCTCTTGCCGCTGCTCCTTCCCCGCCGGTTGCGCGATTTCTTCTCCTGCAGGTAAGGAGAGCAAAGTTCAGAAAGATAGTTGGATTGGTTCATGAACATTAGCTATTTGGTGAGTAGTTTCCAAAGTTGCTCTTTACTTCTTGATGTTGATCAACCTTCCCAATCTGTACTAACAAGTAAATCCGACCAACCACGTAGTCCTCACTTGTCAGTCAAACCCAGTTCCTACAAATCAGTTACACGTAGTCCAGTGCTGCGCCTTTCCCAGCCATCGCATACAGGGGACAGGCAGCCCTGATCGTGGTTCAGTAACAGGTGGTCCGGTATATTGGATGGAAGATGGGGAAGTCTGCTGCCGTGAAGAGAGGCTAGTTTTTAATGGATTGAGAAGTGGCACATTTGCGGCGAAGGACTCGCCCGTAGCGGCCTAGAAAGGTGGCCGCCCTATTTGTGGAGAAGCTCTTTGTGAAGGTGCCATAGATTGTGATGGTGAGAGGGTATCGTCTGCGGCGAGAGTGTAGACAGGCAAAGCAAATGGTTTACAGGCTTCTAACATTAGTGTAGAAGCACTATGTAAGAATACAAATAGGTAGCATGTCTACTGGGATCCCATAAATCTCAGCTGGCTCACACCCATGCTACATCTTCTCTACGCCCAGTACGTATCTGCAGTAGAATCAGCGATGCAGCATTTGTTCTCGCCATCGCATATTGGTCGCTCTCACCCGCGACAAATTCGCGGTATTTGGTCGCTGGGAAGTCGCGGTGGTGTTTCATGACGTAGAAGCATCGCGAGGGAGCAGTTAGTTGCATAGCAGAACCATAAAATGAACGCTGCACATTCTCAGAATTTGACAAGCCGGCCCTTAATATTCATTCATTAGTGGGTTTCTTACTCTAAGTAGTTGCAGATGATGAGCGGTGATTATGAAATGGCGAAGAAAAGCTTGCTCGACAGCCGTAAAGACATCACAAATAGCTGCTCGATTCTTGAGAATGCCATTCTGTCCATCGCTCTTGCCGAAGCTCACTGCCATACGGGAAATAGGAACGGTAAACAATGTTTCGGTTGTGAATCGTTCAGGCTTCACTGAATATCAACTGTTTAGAACAATTACAATATCTGAACAAGGCTCGTGCACAATGTCGACAGGCTGGAGCAGTTTTGTTTGAGAAGTTTGTGTTGCAGGAACTAGCGCTTTACTATCATGACGTGAGTTGATTTTAAAACTGCGGACGCTAAGGTTACTGTTATACTTCGCGCTAGTCT